GAGAGGCAGAGAGAGAGAGGCAGAGAGAGAGAGGCAGAGAGAGAGAGACAGAGAGAGAGACAGAGAGAGAGAGAGAGAGAGAGAAAGAGAGACAGAGAGAGAGAGAGAGAGAGAGAGAGAGAGAGAGAGAGAGAGAGAGAGAGAGAGGAGACGTTCTAAATTTCTCTTCTGACCAGCACAACAGGTTTTCTCCTACTGGCAAGTCTGCACACAGAGATGGGAGTATTCTGGCTCCTTCTGCTCCAAGAATTCCCCTTGAGACTCCTAACTGAATATTGTGTGGCTATGAATGTTGAATGAGTCACCTCTGAAGGTGACATTTCTCCCATCATCAGAGGACTTCATTCTTTAAACCATCCATGCTTGGAACATGGGAGTCCACAGGCAGGGGCTCTCTCCTCTGCTGTCCACATGTAGTCAGCTAACTTCCCTGGTGTTGTTCCTCAGACCTTCCCTCCTGTTTTTTATTGGCCCCTCTTCACTACTGTTGTTTAAAGCTCTGTCTCCCCACAGGAGGTTATTGGTGATAGCTCTGTCTCCCCACAGGAGATTATTGGTGATAGCCTTTGAATTGTATCCTTTACTCAAGACTTCCCCTTGGGTTACTTTGGACTTTTATCTGTGATGACCCCATATTTTAAGAACTGACTTTGTTCCAGGGATTTTGATACCCTCATAAAAACCTTCAAAGCCAGGAGAAACAACAAACTCATTGAATAGCTTGTTGGAGAATATATAGCAGCAAGATTTCAAGCTAGGTCTAAATGGCCTACTTATGAATAAGAAGCAGAAAGTGGTAAGATTTTTTAAAAACGTTTTGCAAGGGAAAGGATAAGACAGCAATTAAGGTAACAAGTGTTTATTAGTATTTTTATTTTACTTACATTTTCCCTTCGAAGTTTATCTTATTAGTGGATATCCTTTTAAAAACAGTAATTACAAGGTTAAAAATCCTGTTTGATGCTTTTATAAGGTGAGAACACTGAGCTGAAATATCTGGGAGGTTATTTGGGTGCTTCCAAAAATGTAAGATGATTTATCACTACACTTCCTGGGCCTGACATATATACCGCCTGGCACACAGTAGACTCAGTGACTGTTGACTGGTTATATCAGTGATAATCCACACTCCTGATTGTTTTACAATTTTAATACACTCTTTGAACAGTCTTGTAAGATAAATTGCATTACCATCTCCATTTGATGCATGGGCGTGCCACATTCACACAGTCTGTGATCACAGAGGCTGGGATTGTATTTGAAGCATCCTTGGAGAGCCCTTGTACGAACTCCCATCAGTATCTGCCTCTCACTCAGTGGAGAAATGATGCTCAGGTCTTTAGTGTATAGTATTTCAGTGATTTTGATATAGTAAAGTTTAAGAAGGTTATGAATCACAGGCCTTAGCTCTTTGGGTGTTTGGTCCATAGAAAAGGGGTGCAGGAACCTTGAGAAAACCGATAGGTTTTGGTGTATGTACTTAAATGCATTTTTCTTCTTGGGCAAAGAGAATGGCTAATGTTGTAGCCTCTAAAAAAATAAATAAATAAAACCCACAGATACAGAGAAAAACCTTAGGCATCTTCCTGACACGGAATCAAAATAAATATCCACAAGTTTTAAGCAGATATATTTGAAGAGTTGTTCATGTTTTTATCTCTACAAATGAGACTTTAGCTAGGTGGCCAAGGGTATAGGCATAAGTTATATGTGTATATTAAAAAAGTAGCTTTGTTCATTCTTGTGTCATTACTAGAAAGAAGTAGTTTCACAAATGTAAAAATGGATGCTAACAGGGATAAGAAGCACACCTAACAGCATACCAGGAAGTCACAGATAGACGGCCTAGCTCTGAGGCCAATACTGTCTCACCCTGTGCCTAGACACAGCTACTGCCAGATGCATTCATTGCAACTAAACTTCAGGGATCGAACTTTTACATTTTTGCTATGCAACCTCACCTATAAGTAGAGGTTGAGTTATACACCATCTGAAAGTCATTTTAAATTCAGTCCAGTTCTAAAATCACTTATGGAATCCTTTGTATTCATCAATGCCTGTTTGCCTGCTGAGTTTTCTGGAGTATTTTTCTAGCAGCTGGTTTTTCCATTTGGTCTACCATCTCATTTCCAAACTCATACCAATTAAGGCCTCGGTCTACTAGACACTCAGCTCAAAGAGAGAATGATTATTTCCAAAAGGCAAAGCTAACAACACAGTCTGGCAGAAGAACTAGAAAGTTCATTCCTGTATACTTCTCCTGTGGACGGAAGCCACATAGAAAGATCTGTTCCCTCCTCACCCCACACCGATGCTTTATCTGTCACTCATAACCTTTAACATTTTAATCTACACATTATAGGTTTAACTAAAGTTGGGCATGGTGGTGTACGCCTCTAATCCCAGCACTTGAGAGTCAGAGGCAGATGGATCTCTGTGAGTTTGAGGCCAGCCTGGTCTACATAGTGAGTTCCAGGACAGCCAGAGCTACATAGTGAGACCCTGTTTTTACCTCTCTTTTTTTCTGCTCAAAAAGAAAAACAAAAACTTTCACTAAGACTTAATTGTCTAGCATCAGCAGTAGACAGCCTCACTACACTCAGGTACAGTGATTGCTGTGAGGGACTAAATTTCCAGCAGCTTTGTTGTATGCAAGAGTATAATTTTCTTAGTTTAAAAATACAGTATTGTTTTCTTATATCACTGAAAATGCATTACACCTGTTTTTTTTAAATACATTTATTTAGACAATATTAGGAGCATAATAACCGAACCTCCCCAGCTATTACTTTGTCAGGTCAGGCAATAGAAAAGCTCGTGTGAACATCTTATGAAGGAGTGGATTCATTCATTCATGAAGTCTCAGTGGCTTCAGGCTTCATTCATCTTTTCTCTCGTATTGCTGATGATTCATAGCCAGCATATAAAGTTTTCTCAAAAGAAGAAATGGGGAAATGTCTGGAACAGTGGTATTGATGTCTCTTTCGTTATGAAACCTTCACGGCGTATTTCAGTCTCGTGGAATCTTTTGTGTTATTCTGACTGTCAATAAGAACCAGGGGGTTGTGCTGGTGATTCTTGATGATTTCCACAACACTTCCAAAGTACTAGAGAAGGAAGACATGGTGGGTCAATTTCTGCTTCTGTTCTCTCCATGGCCCCTCCCCACCCCTAACCTTCCCCCACTCTCTCAAGTTGTGCACAGTTATTGGGGCTCAACTGACACTCTGCTTAGAAGTGTCCATCTATTTTAACAAAGGCTGGCACTTGCAGGGTGGTATGCTATGGACCTTCCTATATTCAGTAAGTCCAAAGCCACATGCACAGATTTAATTACTCCTAGACAAGTTACTTATTATGATGTAATATTCGTTTAAATGTTTTGCTAAATGTTTTAAAATATTTGCTTCTGAGCCAGGTGTGGTGGCGCATGACTTTAACCCTAGCACTTGGGAGGCAGAGACAGGATGACCCCTGAGTTCAGGCCAGCGTGGTCTACTGAGTGACTTCCAGATCAGCCACCTGTCTTGAAACCATGTCTTGAAAATACAAAAAGAAAAATCATAAATAATTTAAAAATTGCTTCTTATTGTCAAACATGAAACTGCCATGTGATAGACTTCTTTATATCCCTCACAAAACACAAATTATCTTCAATGTTGCCCAAATCTTGACAATCTCCCAAAAGCCTAGGCTCACACACTGCCACTACTGTTAGCTTAGTGGAACCTTTAAGAAGCAAGCCTCATAGGAAGTCTTTAGATCATTCTGGGTGAAACCTTTGTCCTTATTCCTTATGAGTGATTTCACTCTGCTGTGATATACTAACTCACCATGGGGTCAAAGACAAGGGGGGCAATCTACTGTTGACTAAGACCTTCAAAACTGAGCCAAAATAAACTTTTCATCTTTATAAGTTGATTATGATAGGTATTTCTGTTATGGTGATGGAAGCAAACTGAAACACAATGATATAATAAGTTTCTCAAAATTCAGTACTAGAAAACTTATTTCCTAGATATTCATCTTTTTGTTTTCTTTTCTGAACAGGAAAGGGGACCTTTATGAGCCCTCTTATTTCTATCTACACTTGGCTGCTTGTAAACTTAGAAGTGTCAAAGTAATAATGGAGTTTTCTGCTATATTCTCACCATACGTGTTACTCATTCTGTATTTGAATGTCCCATGTCTATAAGTCTCATTCAAGGATGTCAGAAAGCTTGCTTTGAAAATGATCCAGGTTTTAAATGAAAGATTAAAGGACTATAACACAGACCACGAAACAATATGCGTTAGGCATACAAAAGTGCACAGTCATCGTTAAGTACATGTATCGTTTTTAAAGTAATTGGTCTGCAATAGTCTCATGGTTTACGGAATTGGTATCTATTGACTTCATTGTGTCCCTTAACCTGTTAAATACAGATAGCTATCTGGAAACAAAGAAATTTAAAAGTTTTATTGATTGGTTTGGGTGACTTCCAAGATCTCCACGTTGAATAACAATATGTTCGTAATACTGGACAACTTCTCAAATGAAATACAGTTGTGTTTTAGTGTCTGGCCATCTGAATGTTACCCTGTGGAGGAGAGGCATGTGGTATGGACTTTCAGATCCTTTCACCTTTACTCCCTCCCCTGAGGCAGTCACTTGGTGCTCTTACAATTACCAGTGGAATTCCTCTGTGAGAAACGCCATGATACATTTGTGATGGGAGGGGAGGGGGGAACAAACACAGAATCATGTCAAGACAAACGCAGTCAGGAAAGTTTGAAAAAGAAAGGCTAGGAAAGCCGGGCGGTGGTGGCACACGCCTTTAATCCCAGCACTTGGGAGGCAGAGGCAGGCGGATTTCTGAGTTCGAGGCCAGCCTGGTCTACAGAGTGAGTTCCAGGACAGCCAGGGCTACACAGAGAAACCCTGTCTCGAAAAACCAAAAAAAAAAAAAAAAAGAAAGGCTAGGAAATGAGCTAACACAAGCTCTTTGATGATGAATTCCTAGTTTTAAAAAGGTGAGTTCTGAACTCGAGAAACAAAAGATTTGATTTGAGGTGGAATCATTTGAGACAGGAAGTGGAGTTGACAAAGCACATTTGTGCTTTAAGTAAAAGATGAACTAGGGTTCATGTAGTTGCTGCTTTCCCCCAGTTATCTTTATTTATCTTCATATTAACTCAGTATATTTGAGATTTCCACATATGTACAGAAAACAACTGGTTTGATAGCTCAACGTCTTATGGCCAATAAAGTAGAACAGTCATCAAAGCTATGAGATTACTGTACTGTGCAAGCCAAAACAACTACAAGAAAAGGTAAACAATTCATTAACTGGCTACTTACTGGTTACACACACACACACACACACACACACACACACTATACACAAATAGAAGTAGAGAAAAAAATCTTTAAAAACATGCATAGTTGGTATTAGATAGCCCAAATTTTCATTTTCCTGTTTTTATGTTCAGTATATTGAAAACATCATGTTTTCTTACAAATTATTTAAAGGAGATTTTTAAAGTTGATTTTCAGCATTGCCAGAAACCTTTATAATAAATAATCTATTACACATTTTAGCCCCACGGCTAGTTATGCTGAGAATGGAGCAAAGTGTTGACTTATTAATTCTGAAGTAAAGAAGAAGGTTCTTAGGAACCAAGGAATTCTTGTTGAGTGGTTTGTTTGTTTGGTTGGTTGGTTGGTTTTTTTGTTGTTGTTTTTTTGTTTTGTTTTGTTTTTTGGTCAAGGAAGCTCTTAGTCTCTCTGAGAGTTCAGTTTATATAAGAAATTTTCAGGACCTATGAATAGGACAGCTCCTAGCTCCCCATTTTCCTGCCTTTGAAGGTGAGCTACACCCCTGAGAAGACAAGGAAATGAAGCAACTCCTGGGTCTGTTCTGTCAGCTTTGCTATTATTTTGTAACACTGACTATGATTAAAGAACCTTCTAAAGAGACTTTTAAGATCGAGTTTGCAGCAGCAATGGGAGTCTTTACAAGCGGGGGGGTTGGGGGGGGGAGCTGTAAGCTTTACGGGCAGGGACCTGTACGTTTGTCTTGAGTCCTCCAATCATCCAATCCTCTTACTATTGCCAGTGAAACACTTCTGTGATAAATACAATGATATACTCATTCTGGTTTTCTGGCACAGGGTGGGGCCGGAAAGCTGGGTGACTAGGGAAGCCAGTCCCTAGCAAGACTGAGGTCAAAAAGTGTCCAAAGCACAACAATCTCATCCTAAGGCAAGCAGGAGTCAGGACTGTTCCCTGTTCCTCTGGGTCTGCATGAATGTAGCCTGTACAACCCCTACCTCTGCCCTACTTGAGGTAGTCACATAGCCTGGTGGCCAAATTATAGGTTTAACTTCCTCTCTCCCTACAAGGACATGTCCAGCAAACACTTGGAGTTCCTCTTCATGCAAATAAAGCATTCCTAACAACCAGTAAGGTACACTCACCCTGAAGACCCCCTACCCACTCCCGAAGATTTATATATTGTTACCTCTAATAAAGGGGAGCTGTTTTACTGAAAACTGTCTCAGAGAAGGCTGTTTCTCTCCCACACGCCAGCTGCCAGAGATCCTGCAAACTCATCCTCCCTGATAAGCTTTTTGACCTTTGCACAAAGATCCCTGAATACCCCGAGGGCAGAAGTAGAACCAGCAAGCAGCATGGGTTGCTAGAAGCTAAGTGCAATTGGAAACTAAAGGACTGGGGAGTAAACTAGAATGGTTATTTAATGACAATTTTTTAAGTGACAATGCAATTCTGCTCTAGATTAGTGTTCTCAAAACAACTCAGGAAAGAGTTGTTGTTTTTTTTCTCCTAATTGCCTGAGACTTTATTTAAAGCCTCAAGCTATAAAAACCCTAGAAGAAAACACAGAGGGAAAATGTTATGACATTGGATTTGGTGATGATTTTCTGGATGTGACACAAAGAACACAGGCAACAAAGGCAAATTACATAAATGAGGCTACATACAGTTCAAACTGTTTGTCAGAGAACAAAATCGAGTTAAAAGGTAAAGCGAGTAATGAGGGGAGTATGTTCCTACATTCCCAAAATCAGAGCTCACTGTGGTGGCACACAACTTCTTTAATCCCAGAGAGACAGAGGCAAATTCAACAGCAAGAATGGGAACACTTGATTGGAAGGCATACAAAGGAGTGGGATAAACATTTCTGCACAGAGGATGAATAAGTGGCTAATAAACATATAAAGAGATACTGAGAATACTAATCATCGGAAGAATGTGAATGAGGTACCATGGCACATCCATTACGATGGCTACTATAACAAAAACAAACAGAAATAATAAGTAACCAGTGCTGGGGGGGGGGGTGTTGAGTGCTCATATATTGTTGGTGTGATTATACAATGATGCTGTATGCCCAGCTGTAACCTAAACATAGCCAAGAGGTCTATGCTAGAATTTTGATCTACATGTCTTAACTACATTTTTGTTTTTGAAAACAAGATATCTTGCCTATAACTATTCAGCTAACAGTGGAATTTGTTCATGCAGCATCCACTGAAATAAGCCATTGTGCTCCAGGTCTGGAAAGGCACAGGGAACAAGACATAGCCAGGGGCTCAGTAATAGAAAAGAGGTATTCACCAGTAATTATGATTTGTTTTCAACAATGCTGGCTTAGGAAAGGTCTGGCTCCTTTTGAACATATCTTTTAATTATGCTCTTTCCATTCCCTCCATCTCTTCCTCCCTCCTTACCTCCCTCTTCGTTTCTTCCTCCTTCCTTTTTTCCTTCCTTCCTTCTTCCATTTTAAAATTTGTGGTAGGGTCTCACTTTAAACTGGATTTGAACTCACAATCTCCTAACCTCATCTTCCCAAACGTTGGCCTTGCAGGTAAGTGCTACTACAATTACTCTTAAGGTATCTCTTCATTAGAACCTTGTTTGTGCTCCTTTCTCTGTTTAAACCATCCTTTCCATATTTTTTTCTTTTTTCCTTCCTCCATCTTTCATTCCACGGGTTCAAATACAACTCATCATTCAAGGTGAGAGTAAGTATTCCTTTCTGGACCATTCATGGGTGTGGTGGTTTGAATAAGATTGATACCCTTAGGCCCATGCATTTGGATGCTTAGTCATTAGGAAATGGCACTATTTGAAAAGGAGGAGGTGTGGACTTATTGGAGGAAGTGTGTCACCATGGTGGGCTTTGAGGTTTCAAAAGCCCACACTAGGCTCAGTGTCGCTCGCTTTGCCTGCAGATCGGGCTGTAACTCATAGTTACTGTTCCTGCTGTCATGCTCCCCACCACAGTGATAATGCACTAAACCTCTGAAACTTTAAGCAAGCCCCCAGTTAAATGCTTTCCTTTATAAGAGCTGCCTTGGTCATACATAGTGTCACCTCACAGTGACAGAACACTGACAAAGACAATGGGTTATTCTAAGTCACACTTCACAATTCCTTTATGGAAACAGGCTAACTGAACAGAAACATACTAAGCTGTCATTTTGCTCCTAACTAATGACATTTCTGTTGGTTATTTAAGGCCTATATATTTCATTACATAAGCTCATGTTGGCCCAAGAATTATAGCCTAATGTTTCAAGTCAAGTTCTGAATTCTCAAGTACTTCCCTGGTCATCTAACTCAGTACCAGAGTTGAGTTCCTAGGCCTTGATTTTGGAATGCTAGTTCATGACCTTGATTCTTACAGCGTTAATTGGCTTTGGCATTTCAACTTTCATTTATAGGTTTTCTTGGACTAATAATTATATCAGGTTCCCTCACTGTGGAAATAAGAGATGAGGAGATGGCTCAGTGGACAAAGCACTTGCTATGCCAGCAAAAATATGGGGGTTCAGATCCCCAGCACCCATAAAAATGCCAGGTGGACACGGTGGCCTGCATGTAATTCTAACACTCAGAAGACAGATGCAGGGGATCCCCAGAACAAGTGGCTAGCTAGAGTAGCCATCTTCAATCAAAAGACTCTGCTTCAAGCATTAACGTAGAGAACAATCAAGAAAGACTCCTGAAAATCAGCACTGGGTGTCCACATATCCCAACACACATGCACACCGTACACACAGACACATGTAATTTAAAAGTTAAACAAAAATACTAGCATAGATATCACATCTTTTTTTCTGACTCCCCATAGGATATACTATCACACAATGTGCATCATATACTACATTACATACTATTTCAAACCATGGCGTTCCATCTTATGTTCTACTTATGGCATACATACAACCCTAAGACCAAGTACTTTCACACGTGTTACCTTTATCTCTGGCACCTAATAGCCCATGCTGCCACTGTATGCGGCGCAGAGATATGGAGCTGAGTTAAAGAGAAGTTACCAGCCAGCCACAGTGATACTTTCCCACACTCCTGTACTCAGGAGGATTATGAGTTCAAGGCCAGCCTGGGTTAGGGAATTTTAGATCCACCTAAGGTTACATATTATGACTGTGTCTCAAAATAAGAAAATAAAGAAATAAATAGAGAATTAAAGGCTACTAACCTCTTCACCATTTTTCTTCTTTCCCAAAGCATATTGTTTGGTTGCTTCAATAAACCGTACAGGAATATTATATACCCGCTTGTTAAAGAACGCAACTAGTGTGTAAGGCTGCTTAGAATCATGGCCAGAGCTTTTCCGAATAAGAAACGATCCATCCTGTTTAAGTGAAACATAGTGATAGTGTTAGTTATATTTCCTTAAGCTAGAAAGCAGTTTGTGAAGAGTAGTTTATCATTTTCAGATATTATTTAGCTTCATGTTTTTGTAATTGATTAGAATTTGTTTTATTGTTTTCCAAGAATACTGTTTATTAAAATAGATACACTGTGCTAGCTGGGATTTAGAAACATGGAAAAGCACACAGTAAGATCAAACAGAGAGTCTCTTGAGCTACAGCCCATGTTTGCAAGTTCCTTAAGTAAAAATCTATACTGTAAGAAAGTAGAAGCTGTGGCTGGAGAGATGGCTCAGTGGTTAAGAGCACTGATTGCTCTTCCAGAGGTCTTGAGTTCAATTTCCAGCAACCACATGGTGGCTCACCACCATCTGTAATGGGATCTGATGCCCCTTTCTGGTGTGTTTGAAGACAGCTACAGTGTACTCATGTACATAAAATAAATAAATTTTTAAAAAAAGAAAGTAAAAGCTGGGAATTGAAGCTTTTAGCTGAAGAGAACGCTCACCTCGACTTATTTTAAAGTAGAAAAACTATAAAAAATTCAATGTGTATTAAATATTTTATTAAAATAGCTTAGAATCATATATTTAAAAATATTATAGACAAAACATGACCTAAGATAGGAAGAAGAAATGCAAAAATTGGTGTTTAGCCTTAGGAAGGAATTTGAAGAAAAAGACAAAAAGACCTATCACAGAAACAAAGGAATAAAATTCACAAGGTTTCCAGGGACTAAATAAGGTCAAATAAATTTAATATGTGACCTGAAGTAAGCCATGGGGGCAGCCATGGCATTTAAAATGGACTGCAGCAGAGTGGGCCAGACCGTGATGACACTCAAGAGTGACAGAAGCCTGAGGACAACTCTGAAAATCTTGTAGCTGACTGTCGGGGCTCCAAAGGCTGCGGAGTCAACCAGGGTTCACTGAAACAGCAGCAGCAAGGGTGAACCTCACTGACCTCTTGGCAGCCCTGCAGCCATTGCCACCTTGCCAAAGCGCTAGCCCTTCCCCTGGTGGGCTAGCTAAGAAGGTAAGACAGTGGTCGGTTCAAAACACAAGCCTCAATAACTACGAGTCATAAGAACGCAAGGATGTGATTGGCCCATACAAACAGGCTGTGGCTGCTCCAAAACACCCCCAAGCCAGTCTCTCTCCAGGGCCACCTTCCCTGGTGTGCTGCACTGGGCCCCATAAAGGGGGTCATTTTTTCCCTAACTAGAGTGGTCTGGACAAGAAAGAAGCAAAAACTGAGGAAAACTTTAACTTGTTGGAGATAGCCTTAGAAAGCCTTTCCCTGATCTACGCTGATTTCTGTCTAGGCAGAACAAAGAACCCTCACCAGCTGATTGGTGACATTTTGACAGGGACTTGATGGTGTTTGTTTGTTTGTTTGTTTTAAATGGGAGAACAGAGGAAGTAAAAAGGAAACTTTAATCCGTTGTCCCATCAGTTCCCAATGTTGAGCTCTCAAAAAATATTTCCAGGTAGTGTCTTCTGCCTTTATCCATATCCTAAGTCCCATGAGTTGGTTCAAAATAGCCTGTCCTCCCTCGCTCCAAGGCTGGGCTCCTGCAGCATCAGGTTTTCCCCAGACCCTCCCTGCCACCTCCCCCACTTCTCTCTATTGTTTGAGGGGTAGTGGACCCCCTGGAGCCTTGAAATTAAAGACAAACAGGAAGGAGATGAAAGAACAAAGCCGCCAGCCAGGCTCCCAAGAGAGGAGAAAGTACAGGGAAATAGCCCCTGCACCTAACCCCAGCAATTACTAGTCAGATTAATGATGAACTGCCAGCACACTGTGGAATTTTCAGGTGCCCCAAACCTTGTTGGATCTGTGCAAGGCCTCTTCGGCAGACTTGCGGTCGCAGGCGCCAGCATACCAGGGCTTACCATGCAGTTCAGCCTCCTGTGAGACAGAAGCATTGTAAAACATGAGTTGGTCCTCAACGGAAATGAAAATTTACATCAGTGCTTAAGTGGCCCATTCTGCAAAGTCAAGATGGGAACAATAATCTCCACCTTTACCAGTAATGTCAAAATGAGTTTCGTGCTTTCTTTGGCCAACCACAAAGATTATGTGGCTAGCTCACTCCCATTTGGCATTAAGCTGCTAAATTTGGTCCTAAATCATTTTCCTCCTGAATGTATTATATACTCTTTTCTCACTGTGCTAATATTCTTTTTAAATTTATTTATTTATTTATTTATTTATTTATTTTTACTTTATGTGTATTGGTGTTTTGCCTGCATGTATATCTCTGCATGTATGTCAGATCCTAGAGTAACAAATAGTTGTGATTTGCCATGTAGGTGCTGGGAATTGAACCTGGGTCCTCTGGAAGAGCAGTCAGTGCCCTTAACTGCTGAGCCATCTTTCCAGCCCATTCCTTTACTCTTAATGCTTAATAGAGTGCTTCATAATCTCAGTGTATGTGTGTTTATTTGTGCGTGGAAGCATGTGTGCACCCGTGTACAAGCATGTGCACAAGTGTGTCAGATATCATCGTTAGATATTGCTCCCCAGGAGCTGTCCACTTTGCTTTTGAATCAGCGTCACTCTCTGGGACGGGGCTCCAGGACTAGGCTGGCCAGCAGCCCACCCAGGGGATCTCCCGTTTCTGTCTCGCCCATGATGGGATTATAAACACACAGCACCGCATTCCCTTTTCATTTCATTTTCTTCCATTCTGTTTTGGGGTTTGGAACTGGGATTCAAATCCTCACGTTTGTGCAGCAAGCACTTTTCCGACTTAACTGGTGTCCCAGTGATGCTGTCTTACTGGGTTTTGACAAATAAGGATACTTGTTCATTTGTCACCTTCAAGGGCACACAGAGTCCTTTTCTCTGTCTCTTTATGCTGTTCTGTTTGATATAGGCTTTAACATCCTAAGCCTCCACAGGTCTATTCTGAGGAAATTGCAAAATTTAAATAAATGTGAGAGGAATAACAACAAAAACAACACGTTCCCTCACTGTTTTAAAGAAACACTGTTATTTGGGGCATCTGGAATAGAACCGAGATTAATGGGGTGAAGTCTCTCTTAGTCACTGAAAAAAACAGGATATTCTGTATCCATCGGACCAACTCGGCTAAAATCCAGATTCCATCCTGAGTCAGACTCCATCCTGAGCCATACTCAGAAGACATGCCCTTGTCCAAAATCCACTGGAGATAGACCAACAACACCAAGCTCATGCCCTACCTGGTCTGCAAAAATAGAATTAAATGAGAAGCTAGGGAACGGTCCGTCTGCAGCTGGGCTTCCCCCTTCTGGGAACCCTGGAAGAGATTTGAAAATTCCATTAATCTTCAGTAGTTTTTGTGTAGTTACAGTGCCTATGTCTTACTGCTGCACAACCTCCCTGGGCTACACACAGAGCTAAAAAATCCTCAGGACTGCTCAGAGTGGGGGGCCTCAGGACCCCTTTAAATTCTCAAGATCCTTCCAGATGTTTGAGAGGTCTTTGTTGTTGGCAAAGGCTTATCTTTGAAAAGCCTAGGTTTTCTTCATCTATTTAAACAAGCATAACAACAGACTGTTGGCTCCAGAATTTAAAAGTTTTGTCAAGTTGGACCTGTCAACGCAGGCTATAATATCAGTTACTAGGAAACTGAGGCAGGAGCATCCCAAGTTCAAGGCCAGCCTGGGATACACAGTGAAACACCTGTCTTAGGAGTAAGATTTGTAAAATGTAATCCAGTGCTACTCTACACACAGACACACACACGCACACACATGTACATATACACAGGCACAGGCACACACACAAACATGCACAGATACACACATACATACACACACATACACATGTATTTTTAGATTGTAATCATTTTGATAAAAATATTTATGGTCTTTCATTCTTCTGTGTCTGTTGTGGATCTAGTCATTGGGAATTATACACACACACACACACACACACACACACACACACACACACACGAGACATCAAAATGCTTTGCCTTCCTGGAACTTGAACTTTAAAGGGCTGAGCAATCAAGCGACTTTACCATGCAGCATTGAGTATCAATAGTGTTCTTGAGAGCCAGAAGGCAGTATAGAAGCAGCACTCTCTCCAATGGAACAGCACAGTTGAGAGGGTGGTCAGATTTCCCCAGGGAACCTGATATGGGGTGCTGGTTGATTTCTGAGGGCCAGGCAGTCAGGGGAGAACCTGAGACTAACACTTTTAGAACCATGACTGTGTGCTAGGATGTCTCTGTCTTTGTTCTGTGTCTCTGTGTGTGTGTGTGTGTGTGTGTGTGTGTGTGTGTGTGTCAGAACCTGGGTACTCCATCTCAGGGAAAACATTTCCAGACCACTCCATCTAAGATGGTGGCTCTCACTATCCCCATCAGATTCTACCACTCATCCCACATCACCTTGCTCTCCGGGGCACTTTAGGTTTGCCTAGTATGAGACTGTGTATCTATCTCATCTATCTCCTTGTCTCTTATCCAGCCTGCTGTCTCCTTCAGCAATGGTATAACTTTCATGGGCAAGCCATTGATTCACCCTAGTCTCTTCTTATCCCCAAACAGTGGCTGGCACATGGCAGAGAGATGATCAGTGACAAATGAAAGAATGACTCAAGTTGACAAACGCACGATAAGATAAAGCTTTTTAAAGAGAAAAAATAAATTTCTACAGACAAATCATTTTTACTTTGTGTTGTTAGAATTAACAGAAAAACTACTTAATATGAGTTTCATTTTATTTGAAGTAAACCAAAAGTATAATTAAAACTAAAGAATCAAGTTTTGTAGCAAGAGTATGTTTTATTTTGTAAATGACAATTACTCTGTTTATTTGAATGGTTAATCTTGATTACTTGGAATATGTTCCAAATTACGTGTAGAGTTTTCTCTTCTTTTTTACCCCCTACATTGAATTGAAAGAAAATGAAGGGTTGGAGTAGTTACATTCTGTGAGCCTGACTTATCTGGTTAATATGTGTGTATATTAAAATTTCTTATTTTTAGTTGTGTGTGTGTGTGTGTATGTATGAGAGAGAGAGAGAGAGAGAGAGAGAGAGAGAGAGAGAGAGAGAGAGAGAGAGGGAGGGAGGGAGAGAGAGAGAGAGAGAGAGAGAGAGAGAGAGAGAGAGAGAGAGAGAGAAATTGCAGGTGCTCACAGATGCCAGAAGAGAACATTGCTCCCTGGAGTTGAAGTTACAGGCCTTTCTGGGTGCTGGGAGCTGAACTCAACTTCTGATCCATCTCTCTAGATGTGATTCTGTGTTTTAATTGAATGATCAATAAAACATCATACTCCATGTATAGCTCGGTAGTATAACACTTATCTATATGCGTGAAGCTCTGAGGTTAATACCATCACTACAAATTTGCATAATTTGCCAAATTGTGACATTATGAGTATTTATAACCTAAACACATAAAGCTTTAAATTTACTAAAAATATAAGTATATAAGAGAATAATTAATAAAATGAACAAAAATCATAGTCATAAACATAGGAAAAAAAACATACTTATGACATACCATATTGGGATAAATGTATATACAGCAGTTTATATGATAGTAATACATAATGAGTACATGATGAAGGCTTATCAGTGGCTCTCCCTTTGCTTTCTGTCTTAGGAGGGTAAATACATAGAAAGTCACTAAAAGACCCTGCATACCTGACCTTACACTTAAGCCAGTCCCCTTTCAGGTATCTAATATCCTACCACATCCAATTTTTTATTAAATTTGTCCAACCTGTCTTTCTGTCATCGTATTCCCAACCATTCCTTCTGCCGGTCAAATTCTGTACATGTCTTGTCCCTTTCTCCCATCTGCTTCTTTTCTTGCTTTCTTTTTTGACTAAGTAATAAACAGTTTAATAAAAAGGAAAAATGTCTGCCTACTGTATTAGTTACTTTTCTCTTGCTGTGATGAAAGACCATTACTGAGTGTGTGGTTTGGGTAAACATGACCCCCATAGAGTCATAGGGAGAGGTATTATGGTGTATGGCCCTGTTGGAGTAAGGGTGGCCTTGTTTACATGGATGTGGCCTTGTTGGTGTGGGTGTGGCCTTGTTGACATGGATGTGGCCTTGGAGTAGATGTAGCCTTGTTGGAGGAAGTGTACTTTTAAGGTGATGTTTACCTTGAGAAAATTATACAGTTAATTAACATGTTCTCATTTTAGCGTACATTTTATGTCGAGATCATTAAAACATACTTCAGATTTACATGAAATACCTATCATTTATTGAGAATCTTTTAAATGCCAAGCACTGTTCTGGGTATTTTAATCTGAGTTTTGAAAATAGCTGTATTGATTGTATTTTTTTTTAATGATGCTGACTGATAAGTAAATATTCAGCCAACATTAAAGATAGAAAATATTTACCTTTCAAAACAACTCTGTGAAATATTTTTGGCCCCATTTCACAGACAAGGAAGCAAATAAGACACTGGCACAGTGGAAGTGACAGCACCATTTGCTCCCATGCCTGGTCCTACCTTCCACCTATGACTGGCAGTCATAGTCTTGTACTTACTTGGCAGGGGTACAGGCTTTTGATGGACAGGCCTGAAAGGAAGAAATGCAGGGTACATGAGAGGCAGAACACAATACAAACTTTGGAGAATCTACATCCAAGGAAAATTAGATCTAAAGATGGGAGGGGCAATAAACCTTTTAGAGAACCAAGACTTTCCCCCCTTAGCTTTGAGAAAGAAAGAGCCTTGACTGTAGTGCTATTTTTTTAGGTGAGACTTATAGCCTGAAGAATGGGTCTCTGAGATTCTACAGTCTCGTAAGTTGCTTAATAGCTTTCCAGATTTGATTAAGAAGCAATGAAACACCGGTTCCCTGTGTGAGCTTGCATGACAACGAATTCCCATAGCAACAAGAAGAAACTTGTTCTTATATTTTTGGTTGTGAGCCTAGCCTTTAACGGCTGAGCCATCTCTCCAGCCCGAAACTTGTTCTTAAAGGGAAGGATTCTCTTACTGGGGAAAGAACTACTTCATGATCTATTATCCTTGTACTCTGGAGGCTGAGGATGGAGGGACCTGAATTAAAGGGCAACATGGCTGCATACATAAGGAATTCCAGGAAAGCTGGAGCTACAGAGTGAGACCCCGTCTTTAAAAAATAGACAGACAAACAAACAAACAAACAAGCAAATAAATAAATAAATAAATAAATAAATAAAAGGGTTGGTGAGGTGGTTGCTTTCTGCTCTTCTAAAAGTCCTGAGTTCAGTTCCCAGGACCCATGTTGGATGGCTCACAACCATGTAACTTCAGCTCCAGGGCCTCTGATATCCTCTTTACCCACATGCAGCATATACTCACATATAAACACAAATACAAAATCAAAATGAAAATATTTTTTAAAGAATAAATAAATAAATAAATAAATAAATGGAAAGGATTCTCACTTCTGGGTGGGAGGAAACACTGGCGACTGTCCAGTGTCTTGTCTGTGACTAGACCCTCGGTGGCGCTCAGCAGGAACAGGCTTTTCTGGATTAGAAGAGTCTCACATTAGTATTAAAATGAAATGTCTGTCCCCATCCCTAAATACTGCCTCTTTGGCCAGATGTCTTCCCAATACCCTGTCTTCTAAGAGATTCTTGATCTGTGTATATGTCAGTCTCTTGGTACGAATGTGCTCTTAGGACCAAAGACTCCCTTTCCACAGTGGTACAGGTCACGCTAGCTCCTCTGGCAGTGTACATGGAGACAGAACCCATGGGTACTGTCTGAGTACAGGCAGGTGTCAGTAGATGAGCAAGCTCCACAGCCACTGTGTAACTCCTTCTCTGCTTTCTCTGCAGACTTCCTTCAGGTGTTGCCATACCTTCCTGTGTCTTGATTAGTCATGAGAGTAAAATCTTAGGATTTATGAATGATCGCCTCCTTTTGAAAAATTAACTGAATCTAAATGTAGGTCACCCTCAAATGTGACTATCACTTGGATCTCAGTGTGTTCTTGAGGGAGGGTAGAAAACAGGCACAAATACAGAGAGATTAAGAAATGTCTGTTGACGACAGGTGGTGGTAGTCCATGTCTTTAATCTCAACAACTTGGGTGGCAGAGTCGGGTGGATTTCTGAGGTCAAGGCCAGCCTGGTCTACAGAGTGAGTTCCAGGACAGCCAGGGCTACACAGAGAGGCCCTATCTCCGGGATTAGCGGGTGGGGAATGACTGTTGAAGCTCATAGGAAACTTTACTAGTGAGGCACTGAGAAAGGCAAACAGTTACAGGAACTTCAGAGGAAGAGAAACAGTGAGAACTCAGCGACTCAAAGCCAAAGTGCACCGCCACTCAGACAGCTGTGACTCTAAAGGTGTTTCAAGCATGCGGCCGGGTCCCTTGAACTGCCATGCTCGTTTCATGCTCATTTCTTTAAAGTGTAGAAACGCCCAAAGGAGTACAATGGAATCACATTAGGTCCCTGCAGCCTTAAGCCCTGACCACCCTATATATGTCTCTATACTGTTAGCCAGGGCCTTGCCGTCTTGTAAAACCTCCTCCATTTTGGTTGAGCTGTGACAGTCCCCATCATTACAGTAATTTCGTTTCCAGAGCGTGTTAGGTCTCTCAGACTGTCCAGACATCCAGAAATGATCGCAAGCTGGAGAACAGGATTCCTGGTGATTAGACAAAAGCCAGCATTCCTCAGGGACTTGCAAGACTCATTCCTAGCTGCCAAAAGGAGTCATATGACTACCTGTGGTGCCTGTCAGGATCTTAAAAGTCCATGCTAACCTCTGGATTCTCTCAGTATCCCAAGTACCTGCTACAGGTTTCAAAATCCATGCTGGCATCCTAGGCCTTCTCCCTTTCCCTCTTGCTCAGTGACCCCTTCCCCCACCCTAACTCCCCATCCTTCTTGAACCCTGGCCATTCTCACTGTTTGCCTCTCTTACTCTCTCTAGCTATGCTCCATTCTCTACCTCTTTTTTTGTTATTTTGTTTTTGTTTTTCAAGACAGGGTTTTGCTGTGTAGCCCTGGCTGTCCTGGAACTCACTCTGTAGACCAGGCTGGCCTCGAATTCAGAAATCCGCCTGCCCCTGCCTCCCAAGTGCTGAGATTAAAGGTGTGTGTCACCACTGCCCGGCTTATTCTCTACCTCTTCACATCTCACTATCTCCACTGTTCTCTCCTGCTTCCTTAGCCCCGGCCATGAGATGCTCAGCCTTTCTCTCTCTGCTCTAGACATTTCCAGATGCCTGTGTCTCTCATATCTCCAATAAAAACATTAGCCACCTCATGGGTCAGTCCCATAAGCAGTTTCTTTCCTGTACCAGCCCAAATACAAGAACTCGAGTGGATTGTTTTTCTAGATTCCTGAGTTTCTACCCAAGCCACGCCCCCCAGTCATGTGTCTGTCAGTGTGTCAGTCATCTCAGATTCTTTTAACGGACTACTCACTGGCCACCCCAGCAATGTCCAAATGCCAGCTGGAAAAGGAAACTTCAACCTGTACCCCAGCTTGTGAGCAAACCGTAGGCATTGATTCTTACAGAATAATACCCCTCCCCCAATAAAGCCCTGCATGGTGTCTAGTCGCTAATTTCCTTGTCTGTCTTTCCTTCTCACAGTTCTGAGGTCTCCTCCCCAGGGCAGAGGAGGCTGCTCACCTCCCTTTGGGTTTAGATGACACCTGCCTAGCCTCTTGGAATGAGTCTAAAGAAAGCTGCTTGTTAAACTCTTCGGGAAGCCTCTGATAAGAGCTTCCAAGCAGACTTGGTTTTGGAGACTCCTGGAGCCTTAAAGTTTTCACAGAGGCCCCAGGTCATTAGGACTCTGCCCTGCTCCTGCTTATCAGGCTGAAGAGACTGGAAAGCCATGCAAGGTATGCATGGGAAGAAAAACTTCAAAGGGGAGGCCGAGAGCCACAGGACAGCAGAGGAGGAGGTAGGGGCAGAAACAGCCTGGGGAAAGGAAAGAAGAGGAAAATAAAATGGGTGTGGGGGCTCTGTTGGTGCAGTAAAAGCAGCGATGAGAGCTGCAGTGTGTGCTCAGGAACAAACAAAAAGCCACTGTCCCATGAACAGGGACACCAGCATGCTCTTTGCAGACACTGACTTAGGATAGGGAGAAAGGACAGGCACTGTGATTTTGCACAGTGCGTCCTCATGTGAGGCATTGGGTGGGTGCAAGACTTCAATTCTTCTTATGTTCTAAGTGTCGACATCATGAATGAATCTTACTCTCTCTTCTCAGTCCCTATTCATGCTTTCCAAATGCAAAATTTTTAAATGGGAGTCATTAAAAAGCACGTCTTTCTTCCCCCACACCCGCTTTGGTTCAGGTGAAGCGAAAGCAGAGAGGCATTGGAAGTTGTACGGACACAGGGGCATCTGAACTTTGAACGCTTAGCAAGAGAACTTTAAACAAACGGTTTTTAAAAAGTTATTATCTTAACTGAGCTGTTCGCTCTGAGACATAGTACCACCATACGGCTTCCTAGCAAGCTGTGGCCATCAGCAATAGGCAAGAGGCAGGTAGGCTGAAACTTCCTCCACGGCGCATGCCTGCTAAGCTAACGTTGCTGCCCTCTACCACATGCAAAAGGCCCATCGCTTACAAGAGTTGGGTTTATATTAACAATTGGCTCACAGATGATGAAAGACATTCAGAACGAAGAGCTTACATGCATATTACGAACTGAAAAATTATTTTTAGAGTACATCCTTAACCTCCAGAATAAATACATTTACCTTCACAAACATTGGATGCGTTCGGTAGGGGAGGAACGGGAGTCTATGTTAAGAAAAAAAAAAAAAAAGAGGCAAGTCAGCAAATCAGAAGATGGAGATAAAGATCAGAGCACTATTAACCATGCTGTCAGAGATTGGCTGCAGCTACTCTGAGTCATGACAAAGAAGCTAAGGCAGTTTCCGGTCCAACCTTTTCATTCACTGAAAACTGGGTGAGTTTGTCTTATGGGAGGAGCAGTCCATTTCCTTGTGGGGACATCACTAACCTATCAACAGTCTTGATGGACACTGTGACCCTCTAAACAGTCTCTAGGCAATAGTGCTTATGCAGTGGGCGTCTGGCAGCTGGGTTTGGTCTTCTGGTCCCACCTTCTGTGATGGCCACTGTCAGGCTCTAGAGTAAGCTCAGGTCCAGCTGGGCTGCCTTGCATCATGTGCTGGCCCAGGGTCACCCTGTTCTGATCATAAGCCAAGTTTAGTTTGTAGCTATTTATCTGATACATAGTAGTCTGCCAGTTGCTCTGGGGTCAACAAGGTGGGGAGTGGACAGAGGCCTTCTGCAATGATGTAGGCATGGATGCCTGTATGTTCTCTATTATCCGATGTGCATATTTAGGGAAGCCAACAGAATACAGCAAAGATCAGCTCATAGGAAGTAGTACCTTCCCATCTACCCCAACATTAGAAGTTCCTCTGGGTTGTCTAGGCAGCAGCTTCAGTTGCTAAGCCTGCTATGTTAAGCACAGTTGGATGCATTGACGACCCTAAATAAGAGGATATCAATAGAGATCGCAAGAAATGTGAAACATTTTCAAGTGCAGAATCAACTTACAGTCTTAAGTGGTGTAGCTGATTTCTTCCTGGGGAATAAAAGATTAGCCTTGTTAAAACACAAGAAAGATGAAATAGAACTACCATCTTCTTAGACTTAAACCATAGAAGAGAAAACAGTGGCTAGCAAGACAGCTCTTGAAAGACAGATAGGGACAGATGGAGGATTTAATTGTGCTGATCTTCCCAATAGATGGAGACGGGTTCATTGTCTTAGTTAGTGTTCTATTGCTGTGAAGAGACACCATGACCAAGGCAACTCTTATAAAAGAAAACATTTCATTGGAGCCTTGCTTACAGGTTCAGAGTTCAGTCCATTTTCATCATAGAGAGAGCATGGCAGCATGTAGGGAGGTGTGGGAGCAGTAGCTGAGAGCTACACCCTGATCCCATAAGCAGAGAGAGACAGAGAAACAGAGAGAAATAGAGAGAGACAGAGAGACAGAGAGACAGAGAGACAGAGAGAAAGAGAGAGAGACAGAGAGACAGAGAGAAATAGAGAGAGACAGAGAGAAAGAGACAGACAGAGAGAGACAAAAGGACAGAGAGAGACAGAGAGAGACAGAGGGACAGAGAGAGACAGAGAGAGATAGAGACACAGACAGACAGACAGACAGACAGACAGACAGACAGACAGATTCTGGGCCTGGTGTGTGCTTTTGAGACCTCAAAGCCCACCCTCAGTGATACACTTCCTCAACAAGGCCACACCTCCTAATTCTTTCAAATAGTGCCACTCTCTAAGCATTCAAATATATAACCTCTAGCCATCTGAAACTAAGCCCAAATTAAGTATTCTGTTTTATGTTTCCTTGGCCATAGTGTCTTATCATAGCAATAGAAAAGTCACTAGTATGGTGTCACTTAATAACATGCCATAATACTTGCCCAGCAGTTTCCAAAGCCACCTTATACCTCATAAGCATCCTATAACCCACAACACACCCTAATACATGTCAGATGTATGAGACCCTAATGTATGTTCAGATGTATGAGCGTCCTAATGCATGTTCAGATGTATGAGACCCTAATGCATGTTCAGATGT